GACTATAATTGCCAGTTGTGGTCCGGCCAGGACCACAATGGTCTTACCAGGACTATTTTGGTCATGAAATGCTGGTCCTGGTAAGATCATTTGGTTCTGGCAGGGCCGGGCCCTTTTAATTGCAGAACGTGTTGGTCCTGACAGGACCACTTCATCGCGAGTTGGTTTAGAGTGAGTTGGTCTTGGTATCACCAGTCCAGTGTGTGGACTGTGAACTGTTGATGCTAATGACGAATGATATCATACCATTTCATATCATATCATTATTAGACTATTTTATGGTTAATGTTGCTGTGTGATGTGATACCAACAATTATATATCTTCTAATTTTATGAGTTCCCTGTCGGGCTGGTTCTGGGGCAGGATCAACCAATTATTTCGTGACATAAATGATGCCAATATAAACAATGAATCTTAAATATTTAGGGCCATGTTGAGCCAATCTTTTGGGTGTGACTTTGTCTTTTTGGTGAACCAACCCAAGTGGGAATTTAGCAACCTTCATTTTCTTTTTGGCCTTATTTATAATATAATATAATAATTTTTGATATAATATGAAATGATATGATTATGAAATTAATATTTAATATAATATAGTATAATATAATAGAATATAATATAACATTTTAATTTAATTTATTATGATATACTATATTTTAATATAATAGAACTCTCAATTGGTAATTTTCCGCTTCGCTTTGGTTTGTTCCTTGGCTTTAACCCCCCTTGAAACAAGTGACCTGGAGACCCCGTTTTTTGATCAAAAACGGGTGTTCCAGGTCACTTGTTAGAATTCTGTTCAAAGCGGAAAATTACCACTCTCAATAATATAGTAGTATAATATCAAAATATGACATTAGATAATACAGTAATATAGTAATGTACTAATATATTAATATAATAAATATATGTAATATATGGGCTTTCTGGCACTTGCTGGCGTTCTGAACCACTGAACCTCTCGTGAATTTCAGTGGAATTCGGGACATTTCTTTATTTTTTTCTACCGGAGAGGAAAGGGAAGTTCTGTGCACACTTCTGGCTTGTGGGAGATGAAAACAGAAGTATGCACACTTATTTCGGCCAAACGGGTGGATCTCGTGAAAGTTAATATAAAATAGGATGCATAATCCGCCTGATTCCCCATGGACATCCCGGAAATGAGACCATCTTCTGGTTGAACACCTTGTGGATGGCGTCTGCCAGTTCTGAGATAGCATCTGTAGCGCCATGGCCGAAGATCGAAGATGTTTTCCGGCGTGTTCACCAGATCTTCCCTACAATGTGCCCCTAAACGTTATAAGTTATAAGTTGGTTTATAACCCCATCAAACTATGGTTATATAACTAGTTACTGGTTGGTGGTTGACCTACACCTCTGAAAAATATGAGTTCGTCAGTTGGGATTATGAAATTCCCTATATATGATATACCAAACCACCAACCAGCTAGTTATTGTAATTGTAGTTGTGTTCACCAACTTAGCAATCTTGGGGGCCCTGCTGGGCAAGGCCTGGGATCGCAAGGAACAACAACAGCACATATTCAGCAAGATGCCGGCCAGGTTCACTGGTTCAATCATCTTCCCTAGAAGTTGCCAGAGTATGATGTTAATGTTCCTATATATATTAACTCATTATTATCAAATAGAATTCTGTGAAATTTCCCATATTTTGAACATCTCGTTGGTGGTTTAATCATCTGCGCAGTTTTCTTCATGGGAAAATCGTCGCACCGTGAATTGAATTTTCATGTTAAAACTAGGGGTATGGGATTAAATCCTATCTTTTCATTGTTTTTGGTGATGTTATGTTTTTGTTTGGTGAATGTTGTGTGTGTAACATCTAAATAGATGTAAAACTTCTCTTTGTTTCTTTTTCTTTCTTCTCTCCTTTTAATAAAGCAGGGGGCATGCGGCCATCATGCAAACGCATGCCAACGAAGCTATGCATGATGGTGGAGGCCGGGGCTGATCACCCTGGTGTACCTGCAAGATTTTCGGACATGGGATGTGGCCAGCCCAAGAACCACCACGCCGTTTCCAAACAATTTATTTTGGATGACGATTTATTTGCCGTTTTTGGAGTCTGGTTTGGGCTACGTTGGATATTTTCGGAAGACCTTCGTTATATTCACGAAGTACAACCACGAGATCTACTTTAGGTCTAATTGTCTAGGCTGGTTACACGTTAAAGGAATCAGTTCCTGATGGATCTCTTCAACGATCCAATTTTGTCTAATGTAATATCCATGGTGACTCCGACATGGTGCCATGGAGCCACTGGAGGCAACCTTGTTTAGGGTGACTGCTGTCGACTTGACTTCTGAATTTACATATTTTTTTACTTGGTAATTCATCTAAGTAAAGCGAAACAGTTGGCCTTTCCATTCGTCAGCCTTTTGAGAAGTCCTGCCGCTCCTGTGGTCCCTTGTGATCCCTTGGAACGATCATCTTTTCGCGTTGCAACTGTGCTGAACAGCCAGAAACTTCCTCAGCTTCAGTGTTTGAGATGACTCACAACAGCAAAGGCAGGTCCATGCTTGCAGGTGTGGTTTCTTTCTCTTGATGGTGTCTGGTGAGGTTGAACATATTGTGCACCTAATTCGGTGGAACTCGTATAGCTGTTTTTGCCTTTGGCGTGACTTGACTACGGTCCCGAAGGGGAGTAACGCACGACACCTGTTGTAGTTGGAACTGGGTCCTTTTTAGATTAATTGTTTTGGTTGTTTCACGCCCGTCACCAACTAGTCCCCATTCGGTCCCTAATTCTTCCCCTGTGCTTCTCTGTAATGTGTGGTGGGGTTTAGGTGTGTGCTCTGTTTTTGTCAGGTCCGTTTCGCCGCGTAGGTTGGTTCTGGAGGTCCGTTCGTTCCCTTCCCCCCCCCTGCGCTGTTCTGGCCTTTTGCCCGTCGTCTGTGTCCGCTTTTTCCTTCCTCTTGCCTTTCAGGATTGACCCGGCTCCGGCCAGGTGTGTGTGTGTGTGCGTAACATCTAAATAGATGTAAAACTTCTCCTTGTTTCTTTTTCTTTCTTCTCTCCTTTTAATAAAGCAGGGGGCATGCGGCCATCATGCAAACGCATGCCAACGAAGCTATGCATGATGGTGGAAGCCGGGGCTGATCACCCTGGTGTACCTGCAAGATTTTCGGACATGGGATGTGGCCAACCCAAGAACCACCACGCCGTTTCCAAACAATTTATTTTGGATGACGATTTATTTGCCGTTTTTGGAGTCTGGTTTGGGCTACGTTGGATATTTTCGGAAGACTTTCGTTATATTCACGAAGTACAACCAGGAGATCTACTTTAGGTCTAATTGTCTAGGCTGGTTGCACGTTAAAGGACTCAGTTCCTGATGGATCTCTTCAAAGATCCAATTTTGTCTAGTGTAATATCCATGGTGACTCCGACATGGTGCCATGGAGCCACTGGAGGCAACCTTGTTTAGGGTGACTGCTGTCGACTTGACTTCTGAATTTACATAATTTTTTACTTGGTAATTCATCTAAGTAAAGCGAAACAGTTGGCCTTTCCATTCATCAGCCTTTTGAGAAGTCCTGCCGCTCCTGTGGTCCCTTGTGATCCCTTGGAACGATCATCTTTTCGCGTTGCAACTGTGCTGAACAGCCAGAAACTTCCTCAGCTTCAGTGTTTGAGATGACTCACAACAGCAAAGGCAGGTCCATGCTTGCAGGTGTGGTTTCTTTCTCTTGATGGTGTCTGGTGAGGTTGAACATATTGTGCACCTAATTCGGTGGAACTCGTATAGCTGTTTTTGCCTTTGGCGTGACTTGACTACGGTCCCGAAGGGGAGTAACGCACGACACCTGTTGTAGTTGGAACTGGGTCCTTTTTAGATTAATTGTTTTGGTTGTTTCACGCCCGTCACCAACTAGTCCCCATTCGGTCCCTAATTCTTCCCCTGTGCTTCTCCGTAATGTGTGGTGGGGTTTAGGTGTGTGCTCTGTTTTTGTCAGGTCCGTTTCGCCGCGTAGGTTGGTTCTGGAGGTCCGTTCGTTCCCTTCCCCCCCCTGCGCTGTTCTGGCCTTTTGCCCGTCGTCTGTGTCCGCTTTTTCCTTCCTCTTGCCTTTCAGGATTGACCCGGCTCCGGCCAGGTGTGTGTGTGTGCGTAACATCTAAATAGATGTAAAACTTCCCCTTGTTTCTTTTTCTTTCTTCTCTCCTTTTAATAAAGCAGGGGGCATGCGGCCATCATGCAAACGCATGCCAACGAAGCTATGCATGATGGTGGAAGCCGGGGCTGATCACCCTGGTGTACCTGCAAGATTTTCGGACATGGGATGTGGCCAACCCAAGAACCACCACGCCGTTTCCAAACAATTTATTTTGGATGACGATTTATTTGCCGTTTTTGGAGTCTGGTTTGGGCTACGTTGGATATTTTCGGAAGACTTTCGTTATATTCACGAAGTACAACCACGAGATCTACTTTAGGTCTAATTGTCTAGGCTGGTTGCACGTTAAAGGACTCAGTTCCTGATGGATCTCTTCAAAGATCCAATTTTGTCTAGTGTGTGTGTGTTTCTTTATGGTATGATGGATAGTGGTAATATATACATATATATATATATATATACACACACATGCACACACTGTATATAGTGGTAGCCTGGTGGCATATATGTAAATTGTGTGAGATAAAGTCTCATATTATGTTGGTTAACTGCCATGTTTTGTTGGTTAAATCATCCAAATTATGTTGCTTAAATATGCTTAAATCCGGTTTCCTGGTGGTCAAATACAGTTTGGTGTTAAATCAGTTAAAAGATGTTAAGTCCTAAGTCCTAATGTTTGCTTGCAGTAGTCCTCATTCGTGCTGGTTTCATCAGTCAGTTGACCAATTAAAGGCAATTTATAGATGAACTACTTCTTGAAAAATGTGATGTTCATTGATTTTCAACTCAGAGAGGGGAGGAATCAGTCAAATCAATCATGCGAAATCACCATTTTCTTTACAGCAGTCCCAACTGCAGGGGGCCTTTGAAGCGTCCATCCACTGCATCAAACGGATCAGAGAAACGACACCTGCGGGGTGGCGTCACCAGTTGGGAACCGCCCAAAGAAAGCAGCATCTGCGAAAATTTCATGGTGATTTCATGGGGATAAAAAGGAGCTATCCTCTGACTTAACCGACTCACTGACTACAACTGTTTGCAAAGTGGAAAATCACCATGTTTTAATCGCTCAATGTAAATGACCAAACCACATGGGCTATTTTCCATCATAGCTATGGAAATTGGCCATCTGGTGGAAATTTCCATCAAGAACTCGTGATTTCCATGGGGAACAAATGAAGGGCACCCTCCGATCAGCATTTTTGATTGGTAGATCAATGCAAATCATTGAACTAAATCTAGCTTTCATAGCAAACTGCTTAGTTGCCGGAGGGTATCAAGAAATATCTTTGGAGGTAGAAGTTGGATGATATCCCTTAAAGCACAGTAACCATAGCGTTGGCAGCGACATTGGCGACATATTAATAATTTGTCGAATCGGCAGGCCCTCATCCAGAACCGGATGCCGACAATGCAGGACCGACCCACACAAGGCAGTTTGGTCCAACGCATGGTGACACCGTATTTCTATGCCTTGGCAAATCTCCAGGCGTAGTCTCAACAAATCTGAACAAACGGAGCTCTGCCATCTCAAAAACCGCTTCAGATACAGTTATGGCCCTTTACCAGTTATAAGTACTTGTAACCCCATTTATAGAATGTATAATCCCATTTATAACCAGTTATAACCTACAAATGGCCTTTAACCGTACCTGTATTTACAGCCGTCCAAAGAAACCAAGCTACTTGGGGACCCGGTCCGCACTCGTTTCCAGGAACCAGATGATATGAAAACATATGAATGTACACAACCATCATCATAGCTGTCTACAAATAATCTGAGATGCCCTGATTGCCCTGATCATTAATTTAGCTGGTGAGTATATATATACATATATATAATGGGTAAATTGCAATATTTCACAAACCTGAATAGTTCGGCCATTTGGGGATGATTTCCCTGAAATAAACCATGATTCCAGGGCTCGGTCGCGACGTGAGGTCGTTGTGATTTACCCTGTATACATCAAACTACTGAACTAGCCAACCAAGGTTTATGCGTTCTCCAGTTCTGTATATTAGGCTTTCTCCCACTTACCATGAACCTGGGGCCCGGCTACCATTTGGCCATGTGTAGTGGCACCCATTGGCAAACATGTAGAGGTTTCCTAAGTCATGACGGTACCCCAAATCATGAGAAAAAAAAAGTATTGAAACTGAAACCTATGGTGACTTGGGGATCCCCCATTTAAGGAAACCTCCATGTGCATATTTACCAAACTTTTCTATTCTGATGACAACTTTGTCCGTGTTTGCTGGTTACTTTTGTGATACAGAAAGGGGCCCGTATACTGCTTAGAACATGAAGTGTAATCTGGCTATCTTGACCTAGGCTTTAGGGTGTTTATGTGCTTGCAAACCGGCGGAACGAACACAGAGAACCTGCTGGTTCGAGAATCACTTGCTGATCGTCCCCAGGTAGGATCGAACCAGCAGCGTGTATTCATCCACAAGGATCCACAAGGTGATGTATTCATCCACCTAGTAGCTACCTAGCAGTTATGTGTGTTGGTTTCAATCATTAGTTGGCCCCCAGAGTCCAGAGTTCACCGGGTCATTTCCACCATGGTTCCCTGCCTGCACTGGCAAAGGCTTTCTGCGCCATCACAGGGAAACTGCAAGCGAAATGGCAGTACCTGCAGGGAACAAGCTTCGTTGGTGTTCGTTTTTGTCCACCCTATACCGTCCACATAGCCTCAAAAACGGTGCTTTAGCCCATAATGAACTATAGTATTTGGAGGGGCTAGGTATGGTCATTGGGATTCGAAGATGTGGATCTAACCCTGCAGTATCCCGGGATTTGACTGATTTGGGTTTGTTTGAAAATGGATACCGCATAGAAAGTAGCAATGTAATTTAAACAATGAAAAATGATGATCGACCATGGGATTTGGGATTCGGAATTGAAGATTAGGAAGTGACCCTGGTTGCTCAGTCGGCCCCAAAATGTGACAAAAACTGCACATTTCGAAAGTAGTCTAACTGACCATGACCATACGTACTAACCAGTCAGTTATAAAGTAGGATTTTTCTCAAAGGACGATACATGGGGGTCTCCTAGAATGGGGGTACCCCAAATCATCTCCCATTTTAAGAAAACCCCATATGATACATGACTCGGATTTGTATTGGGATGCAAACCAGTTCCTAGTTCCTAGTCTTCCAATCATTTTCAAAACATTTTCCTTCGAATTCTTCGCTCTTGAGTGGCAATTCTTAGATTACCAGAGGGTATCCCGGTAAAATTCCCAAATATATATTGCCGCACAATAGGTGAAATGATGACAACAACATTCCCATATTTTTGATGGTCCCGAACGGTAATCAAGCATGGCAATGGAAAATCCTCCGTTCATAGATGATTTTCCCATGAAAACCGCCATTTTGAGAGGATTTCCCAGCGTGCCACGTTTGATTATCAAAGGGTGTATATCCATAAATGTTCAATACTCATGCTATCCCAATAATATTCCATATTATGTTCCCATGATACTCCTCTGGTCCTCTTGTATAATATATGATCCCTAGAAAATCATCCCATTAATATTCACTATATTACCATTACATCCCTATTATACCACCATTTTGCGCTGGTACATATCCTATGGTACATTTCCTATAGAAACCATTCTAATGCCATTGATATTCCATCTACATCCCATGGGTATTCCATTAATATCGCATTGATGTTCCATTAATATCCCACTATAATGTTAACCCTGGATAAAAAAAACCCTTAGGCTGTTTAACTGGGGGGTACCATTTAAGTATCAGATTATGACTATCGGGGAAGTACCCCCCTCATTAATAAACTATGGTTAATATTAAATAATTGATATTTAATGAATATTAATGATATATTCCATATGCGGGCATATTTAGGATATAAACATGGCTATTCCATTAATATCCCATTATATACCCATTGTACAACCATTTTCCAAAACATCTGGAACTAGCACCATCGCCCAACACCCGGCTCACGAGAACGTCTTCATTGCCGTCTGCTGATGTTCATCCCCAATCTGCGTGAAAATCGCTGCTCTGGAGAATGTTTGGAAGTGGTAACAATTACTACTGAATTCTTACGAACTTCTATCTACTTGGGGTTGCTATTAACAAAATTTTAAAGTGAACCAACCCTTGAAATATTGATTGCATACTTATGGGTGTGGTCATAACTGCACTATAACCCAATTCTGAGTGGAACTAGCAGTTGAGCTCAACAACACCATTCCAAATTGTGATGGTACAGCTAAACATCACCGTTTGTTTCTTGAAGTCCAAACCAGTATGGCACTGTGATTCAAAGACAAGCAACCCTTTGTGGGCATATTGAAAGTGGTCGAAGCATTGGCGACTTAGCAAAGATGCTAAGCTCCTTGCACGCACCATCACATCAGTCATTTCACCAAAGCTTTCTCTGAAAACGCCACGCCAGAATAGCTGGGTTTGAAAAAGCTTCGCGTTTTAAGACACTCCAACGCTGCAGCCAACAAACGGAGCCATGGTGCACTTCAAGAAAAGATCTTTATCATTTCGGGGCTTTTTTTCGCCACATGGCCCCATCAAAGCGCCACCTGCTTTTCTAACCCTGGGAACTCTGTCCCAAAAGACTTTCCGTCGGATGTTTCTCCATCATGCTGAACCCAAGAATCGGTCCAGGTCGACGCAGAGATCGCTAGCTGCAACTCAGCTAGACCGCAAGTCTTGGTTTTTTCATCCTAAGTTTGAGTAGATACACAGCTTGATGGACAAAATCCTGTGGCAGTTGGCAACTATTGGCAACTATGAAACACTATAGATAATGGAATAATGGAATAATGGGATAATGGGATAAACCATCTACAAACAGGTGCAGGATTTAGTCCATGCACAGTATGCAATTGTTGGTCACACTTAGATGATATTAAGCGGTAGTATGTTAATCCAATTACATATTATCTAATATCATCCATAGATTAACACTAAAATACTATCTAATGTCATCATGTCATCTCAATATCAAACAATGATAATACTTTTGGTAAACACAATTTATTGTAATCTCAATATACCATCCCAACATTAGATCAGTTAGTCCCACTACATATCCCATCCATTAGATTGTTTGTTAATCATACCTATATGAAAACTTAGGATATTTATTGGGTCACAATTCTTTACCACTATCATCTACCCAATCAAAAAAACATATCATGGTAGTAAAATATCTTATATTGACAGTATTCCAATTCTATCAGATGATATTAGACTCATGCGTCAATCTTTGCTAGCCCATAAAAAATAGTTTGCAGTTTATGGTTCTTTTCCATAGACATAGCAAGTTATCTGGGTAAATTAAAATGTTTCACTAACCTGAATAGTTCGGCCATAAAAGGGGATGATTTCCCTAAAATAAACCATGATTCCAGGGCTCGGTCGCGACGTGAGGTCGTTATAATTTGCCCAGATATCTATTAGACGACTACCCATCCAGTCGCTTGGGGATGGAATTAAGATATTCCAAGTTGGTGAAAGAATTTCCCAAACAAATACCCCAATTTAGAAATAGATCATTACTATTGTCCTTATTACCATTGTCCTTACTATTACTATACTATGGATTATTGCCATTCTTATACAGTTATGACCCTTTTCCACATATATGATATAAGTTATTCAAGCTTCAAGAGCACTGAAAACAAGGTTTTCTCAAGGTTCAGCACGCGAGGGTGCAGGACAGGGTTTTAAGGGGTACGGCACGGTTGGTGCGGTGGGTGCGGTGGGTGGAGTAGGGGGGGTACGGGGGGTGAGGTGCCAGGGGTACGGTGGGTGGGGTGCGGTGAGATCGTACCTGCTCATAGCGTAACGCCTTCCCGTACCTTGATTTTTGAACATCGTACCCTTCCCCAGAGCAGTGCTCTCAAAACTAGATAAGATATAAGTCAGTTAATTACCCCATCTATGGAATAGAACATTTAAAGTTATAAGTGACCATTACTATACGATCGATTGATTATTGCTATCCGTCCCAAGTATTCTTATAGATCATTTACTATTGCTGTCCCAATCGCTATATATACATCATTACTATAGTCAAATACTATAGATGTGATATTCCATAGTTCATGCTATATCTGGAATATCCCAATTATTATCGATCATTACTATAGATAATCAAATACTAATCATTAGTATAGATAGTAATAGATATTGCTACGATAGAAACAGTTGAGATCATTACTATAGTCATAATTATTGATCATTACGAGTGTCCTTACTATTACAATATTATAGTTATAAATTACTAGAGCTGTCCCAATTACTATAGATCCCAACTTACTATAGATAGCTATATCAACTTGAATTGGGACAGCTATAGATAGCCTATAGATAATCACTTTAGTAATTATAAAAAATACTGTCCCAATTACTATTGATCATCAAATACTATATAATCATAGTTATTACAATTACAATAGTTATAAATTACTATTGATCAGTACTATAGATAATCAAATACTAATCATTAGTATAGATAGTAATTATTACTATAGAGAATACTAATCATTGCTATAGCTGTCTCAATTACTACTATTGATCATTACTATAGATAGTTCATCCCAAATTTTTCTCTCCGTTTTTTCCACGCCTTTCGTCTCACCTCAGGGGGGACACTGCTCGCTTTGGCCACCTTTTCGCAACGCGCAAAGGGAAATGGCGCGACCAACAAAAACCAAGGAACAAAAAGGGAGGAGGATGGTGATTCAACGATGAAAAGTGGGGATTTAATGGGATTTATATAAGATTGAATCGGATTTAGTAAGATATCACTGGATTTTGAAGGGTTTCCGAAAACCATGGCGCACAAGAATGGACATACATTAAATGAGTAAACAGCTCCATATTCCATACATCCAAGTGCTCCTTCTGGATTCACTCTACATTAACATGGCGGTATCCTCTTTTCATGTACATCATACAAAGTCAACCTCAAGTAGACATATATCATCATATATCTAAAATATACAAGAATACCTTTAATGTACATGCATCCATATGTATATTAGAATATCGAATATCATAAATACCCTAGTGTGAATTCACATAGATGTGGAACATCCACCCTTTGAAGATTTTTCCTGGGGAAAGCATGCGGTTTCCGTCTCTTTGTGTTTTGTTTGCTGGAGGGTGTACAGTATACATCAACCCCTCTAGATTACAAATACCCCCATCCACCTATAATTCGATATAATAGATATATCTACATGAAACTCCTTTTGGCCTAATAATAAACCAACTTACCTATCGTTTGGGGGGCCCTTCCTGTATTGCTGTTTAACCAGTATGATCCAACACGTATCTGGGTTCGTCTTGAAAGCCTGCATCGATGTACTCCCCACATGCGTCAATAATATAGCAGTACGTGTGCAAAACCCCGTGTCGTCCATTTATGCTGGTTGGTGAAAAAAGGGATTTTGTAGCTGGAGCAGGGCAGTGGGGTAATTGGGCTCGACCCCCAAACCAACCTTCAGGTCAAAGGACTTCTCCACCAACCAACGCAGCAGCAGCAAGCGCGCAGGGCGCTATTTCCATGCACAAGGCCTCACAGGCCTGTCGCCG